ATAAAAATAGTAAATAAAATATATTTTTAAAAATTATCTTGTATGAAAATTGCAGAAACTTCAATTAAAAAAAAAAGAAACCCATACCTGGGGCTGGAGAGATGGCTCAGGAGTTAAGAGCATTGGCTGTTCTTGCAGAGGACCCGGGTTCGGTTCCCAGCACCCCATGGCAGCTAACAACCAATCATCTGCAACTTTAGTTCCAGGAGATCCAATGCCTTCTTCTGGCATCCATGGGTATTGCATGTATCAGGTGTACTTACGTACAGACAGACAACAGTCATACATACAAAATAAAAATAAATTATTAGGGGCTGGAGAGATGGCTCAGCAGTTAAGAGTACTGACTGCTCCTGCAGAGGACCCGGGTTTGATTCCCAGCACCCACATGGCGGCTAACAAACACCCATAACTCCAGTTCCAGGGGAATCCAATGCCTTCTTCTGACCTCTGAGAGCACTGTACAATATGCAGGCAATATACTCATACATAAAATAAAAATAATAAATAAAATATTAAAAAATAAATAAAATATTAGAAAAAGAAGTCCACATCCATCCTTGGGTGTGAACTGCCCTTTTCCTGAGTCTCTGTAAATGCTTAATAAACTCTATAACCTGGTTTGTCCTGGAATTCTTTCCCGCAGCATAGTCAGGGACAGAGGTTTACTTGAGCAGAGGTCCCAAAGGGGAAGATGAATTCCTCAGATTGCTAGTGGTGCGTGACTGCATCTCCTCAACACTCCTCAATTCCTACCTCAGCTTCCGAGTGCTAGGATTACAGGCATGCACCACCACACCTGGCTTTCATTTCATAGAAGGTATCCTCCTGCTTCAGCCCTGGATGCCTTCCCTCCTGACTCCCCCTGCCCTCCAAATCCACCTCTCTCTCAACATGAACTCTAACTGAACTGCTACCCCTCTGGCCCCCATGCTGTGACAACCCCCCACCACCACCTGTGTGCACATCATCCTGTGTGTTCAGAAGCAGGGTAGAGTTATACACCAAGCCTGGGACCACTCACCACTAAGGGCATTGAGTTTAAACAAACTTCGGGAAGATGGGGTGCTCAGCTCCTCAGGGGTGCATGCCACACATGCTGTAGGCTCATATAGATATATGGCCTATAGAGTCTAATTTGTGTCTCCAAATGTCCTTCAGTGTGGGTCCATCCACTGGAGCCTGGTTAACCTACCAAGAGTCCCATCCTTCAAAGAGACTGTCCCTGCCCCTCCCAGCAGCCAAGGATTGCCACAGTTTGTTTGGGGTTTATTACCTACGTCCTCATGTCTATGTTGGGGTTTTGTCTGCTTTGATCTTGTATCGGACTTGTGTGTGCTGTTAGCATTGCTGTGAGTTCATATGAGTAACTGACCATTTGTCTTTAAAACTCTGTTTCCTCGGTCATCTACCACCTCTGGCTTTTGCAGTCCTTCTACCTCCTCTTCTGAAATGATCCCTGAACCCTGGATCGGGGTCCTATTCAGGGATAAGCACTCTGCAGCCTCTTGTTCTCTAGGCACAGGCTTCTTGAGAGAGTCTCTCTGAGGTGTCTTTACAATTGGCTACATACATGATTCTGTGGCTTTTGAAGTTGCATTTTTCAAAGAATGTAATTTATAACAGTTTAATCAGTTTTTTTTTTGTTTTGTTTTGTTTTGTCTTTTTGAGACAGGGTCTCCCTGTAGCCCCAGCTGTCCTGGAACTCACTATGGAGACCAGGCTGGCCTTGAACTCACAGAGATCCGCCTGCCTCTGCTTCCCAAGTGCTGGGATTAAAGGTGTGCGCTACCACGCCCAGCATAAGATTAATCAAAGTTTAAGTGACTAGAAAACTTGCTGTTGGTAAAGTACTTGGTACACCAGTATGAGTTTATTCCCTAAGGACTTAAAAAGCCAGGCACAGAGGCACATGCCTGCACTGGGAAGGAGGATCCCCGAGGCTCCCTGGCCAGCTGATCTTGTGGAATCAGGGAGCTCCAGGTTCAGAGAGGGACGTGCCTCAGAAATGAGATGGAGGGTAACTGAGGTGGACCCCACACCAACCTCGGGCCTCACACACACAGACACAACTGAGGTGGACCCCACACCAACCTCGGGCCTCACACACACAGACCCAACCGAGGTGGACCCCACACCCACCTCGGGCCTCACACACACAGACCCAACCGAGGTGGACCCCACACCCACCTCGGGCCTCACACACACAGACCCAACCGAGGTGGACCCCACACCCACCTCGGGCCTCACACACACAGACCCAACCGAGGTGGACCCCACACCCACCTCGGGCCTCACACACACAGACCCAACCGAGGTGGACCCCACACCCACCTCGGGCCTCACACACACAGACCCAACCGAGGTGGACCCCACACCCACCTCGGGCCTCACACACACAGACCCAACCGAGGTGGACCCCACACCCACCTCGGGCCTCACACACACAGACCCAACCGAGGTGGACCCCACACCCACCTCGGGCCTCACACACACAGACCCAACCGAGGTGGACCCCACACCCACCTCGGGCCTCACACACACAGACCCAACCGAGGTGGACCCCACACCCACCTCGGGCCTCACACACACAGACCCAACCGAGGTGGACCCCACACCCACCTCGGGCCTCACACACACAGACCCAACCGAGGTGGACCCCACACCCACCTCGGGCCTCACACATACAGACACAACTGAGGTGGACCCCACACCAACCTCGGGCCTCACATACACAGACACACAAGATTCAGCAAAGTTTTAAAATTAAGTCAAGTTTTAAAATTTTAGTTTGAAAAAAAAGCTAACAACTGTCCGTAACTCCAGTTCCAGGGAACCCAACAGCCTCTTCTGTCCTCCTCGGGCACTGCATGACACAGGTACACTTACCTATGTGCAGGCAATAACACTCATACATATAAAATAAAAATAATAAATATTTTTTTAAAAACACCGAGTTGGTTTACTTATTTCTTTTTATTTCCCTTTATAAGTAAGGAGGTTTTATGAGGCACATAGTTTAAATTTAGGGAGGAGTGTTGACACAGTTAAACTCAACCACAAACATTTTGGCCCTAAGTTAAACATGGTTCATTTGTTGTTTTTAACGTTCTTGTTTAAAAAGCCTTCATAAAGGAAAACCTGTTATCACTGCAACATCTTGGCTCTATGACTCTCAGTCATCAGGAAGCAAATGAGTTCTCAGGGTGAAGGGCATCTTTCCCTTTTATTTTTAATATTATTTTTATTTTATGTGTATGTGTGTATTGCCTGCATATAGGTAAGTGCACCCGTGTCGTGCAGTGCCCGGGGAGGTCAGAAGAGGCCGTCAGATCCCCTGGGACTGGAGTTACAGACAGTTGTTAGCTGCCATGTGGATGCTGGGATTCGAACCCAGGTTTTCTGCAAGAACAGTCAGTGGTCTTAACCTCTGAGCCATCTCTCCAGCCCCTTTCTTTTTATTTTTTCATTTATTTATTTCTATTTTCTGTGTATGAGTGTATTGCCTGCATATGTATAAGTGCACCATGTCGTGCAGTGCCTGTGGAGGACAGAAGAGGGCGGACCTCCTGAAACTGGAACTTGCTGATTCCACATCTCTCCAGCCCTTATTTATTTATTTATAGGAGGGGCACATGCACGTGTCTGGAGGTCAGAGGACAACTTCAAGGAGTCTACTCTCTCCTTCCACCATGTGGGTTATAGAGAACGGAACTTGGGTCATCCGACTTGGTGGCAGGTGCCGTTACCCACAGAGCCATCTTGCTGTCTCCTCCCTTCTGTTTTTTCCTGTCTTTTTATCCTGCCTGAGGAGGATCTCAGGTTCCAGGCCAAGAGCTATACAGACCCAGGAGAGAGGGGGAGGGAGAGGGAGAGGAGAGATGAAATCCCAGCAAACAAGCCTCACGTCTTGTGACTCTAGAGCTGGCCTCTCCCCTGTGTCCCGATTATTTCCTTGTATCCTGTGTTTATCTGTAATAAAACCTGAAGACCAGAGCCCGCACAGGCTCCTAGGATCCAGGTGGGTAGGCAGCTGTGACACCAGGTTACTGCCCCCTAGCAGTGTGTGCTAGTCCGTCCTTAAGCCTTCAAATAGGCACCAGGTGCTGGGTGTGGACAGGGGGAAGTTCAGGCCATGGGGGCTCCCAGCCTGGGAAGTGGTGTGTGCAGCTCTCACGGTCTTCCAAAGTTGATCGCCCTCTGGAGAGAGGCTGTCTGGTCTAGCTAAGTACTGCCATGTGTGTGCCTGGCCTGAGACTGGGTCGAGTCCATTTGAGGGCCATGTGGAGAGATTCCCATCACCAGGACTACCATGGCTGACACCAATGTGGTAGGGGCTGGCTTGGTTTCCTCTCCGCCAGCTGTTTTACTGAAGCTGGAGGCAGTCCCCTGTCCTGAGCACATGGAAGCCAGTCCTCCAGGCTGGATATCCACAGGCTACCAACCTCCACACCCATGCTCCCTGAGGACTCGACTGTCCTGTGTGGGGCAGACACAGCTATGTCAAGAGCTGGTTACAACACAGGGTGGCCTGGCCATCACAGAGTGCGGGACCAAGTATTGGGCTCTTGTCTTGGATGTGGGGTCATGTCCTGTCCAGGGGCACCTGTCTCCTGGATGCCCTGGCCACCTCCAAAGCGCAGAACCCTAAGAAAACACTGAGGGAAACTATTACTATGGGAGGAGGCAGCCAGACCCCACACTTGAAGCCAAGTGTGTCTAGCATTAAACCCCATGGGCCATCAACCAGTGGTAGGACCTGGCACTGCTGACCTAACCTGGGGCCCCTGTGTTCCATCTGTAAAATGTGTGTGGTGAGTAGTTGGAGGGTTTGCTTGGATAACTTGCACACTCCAGCAGGTGTCACCTTAGCTGAGCCCCAGCCCTGGGCCTCTTGGCCCTGACTCAGGCTGGGCTGGGCTGCTCTGAGACGGCCACAGCTGTGTCTGAGGGGTCCCAGTCCTGGGACTGGAGGCTTATACCTACCTCTGCTCCTCCAGGGGATGACCACCTGGGAAGACGAATCATCACATTCAGCTGCTGCCGGATGCCGCCCTCACACCAGCTCAACCACCAGCGGCTGTTGGAGTGAGTACCACCTTTCCCTCTGCCCTGTACATCCTCTCTATATCACTGTCTCTGTCTCAGCTTCCTGTGAGGACTTGGGGATGCACTGAGCTCTGCATCTCCTGAGTCTACTCCCGGGTCATCTGAGGAAGCGCTCATTACCAGGGCTACCCTGGCTGTCACCAGCATGTGGTATGGGGGTAGGGCTGGCTTGGTTCCCTCACAGCCAGTCGAGCTACAGGTACCAACCTTGGAAGCTGGGACTGACACGTGTTCTGGGTGCATGGAGGTCTGTTCACCAGACCCTGTGGCTGCAGGCTGCCAGCTCCCACCCTATGCTGCACCCCTAAATCTCACAGGGGCACACCAGTTCTGTGCGAGTGTCCCGAGGCTGCCATGTCAAAAGACCACAGCTTAAAGCAATAAAAATCTTCTTTCATGGCTCTGGAGAGTGATGGTCCAAACTTCAGTTGTGGGTGGGGTCCTTCTCCCTCCAGTGACCCCAGGCAGGTAGGCTTCTGGCCTCTTCTTCCTCCTCCTCCTCCTGGCCACTGACCAGTTTCCCTCTTGGCCTCTGTCTGTGTTATCTCCTCTTCCTAGGGGAATCAATTAATCTTAATTACATCTTTCAAGACCCAGTTTCCAAACTCAGCTCCATGTTGAGGCTCTGGGTGGGGTTGGGGGTCACTGTTAAACCCAGGACAGATGCAGGTGTCTCTGCTGTCCAAGTCTGTGCTCAGTACTTACTATGTCCAACACATTGGGTGGATACTGTGGTGGGCCCATCTGTGGACTGAGAGGACCTGTTCTGCAATTCGGGGTGATACCCATGACTGGGAAGTAACTCTGAGTCACAGGGTGTTGGGATACATTGATAACTGTGAGAAGGGTGCGGGAAGCTGTCCACAGCTTCCGTGCACCCAGCAGCAGCCAGGCCTGTGTGGCTCCAGAGTATGCTGGCCTGAGGGGGAGGAGGGATTTCTATCCCTACCTACTAGCTCAATGTCCCCACTGGATAAAGCTAACTTCTGACCACCCCAGCCCCAGATCTGGTCCCTTCCCCCACACTTTGGTCACCATGGCCCCTAGGATATTCCAGGCCCCAGGCCTCCATCTGTACCCTCCTTGCTTTAGCCCCCTGGCCTGGCCCCTTCTCCACGCCTGAGACACCTTCTGAGGTTACTTCAGCCTACCCCTCTGTGTCTAGAAGGCTCCTTACACAGCCTCTGTCTGGTGGCTACCCTCCACCTCATTCACTGCTCTCAGTTGGAGATCCCAGGTGGAGACTCAGTTCTGCAGCTCGGCCCCTGCTGATCTCCACACCTTCCCTTAGCCACATGCCCCTCCCATGGCCTCACTGGCCTTTCTTGCTCCAAGTCTCTGCTGGAATGCCAGCAGGTCCTGCAGCCTCCAGACTACTTCCTGTAACCCACCACCAGCACCACTATGATTGCACCCCCACCCCCC